TGGTTAGACTTGAACCAAAGCCACAACCTAACCCCATAGTAATGGTTAGACTTGAACCAAAGCCACAACCTAACCCCATAGTAATGGTTAGACTTGAACAAAGAACCAAAACCACAACCTAACTAAAAAAAAGGATTTCAACTTAAAGGAATTTTTTCAACTGTAGAGATAGCGTAGTTAAATGTTTTAACACACTTTTCGTTTCTTTCACTTGCAAATTTTTATTAATAATTAATTTATAAAATTTCAATGAAACAAGAGAGTGGACTCAGTGAAGAAATAAAAACAGAACCGAGAATTGTTTGAAATATAGCCAAATGTAACCCTAAAGTTTCAAACATTACAGCATATTTTGAGTTACTTTAGTCAGCAATATGACTCGTTTTTTATCCTCCTGAATGATGTATACTAATATACTGAAATATCCCAGCTAAGATATTGTGTATATTTTTACCAGTATGTCTTTTTAGGCAGAATTTCATTCCTATGGGGGTGTAACAAATAGTTATTTGGCTTTTAATGCTAATACGGACAGTATATTAAAAACAAAACGAGGAATTACGGTCCGCGGAAAAAGGAAAGGAGCTATTTAGAAATTAATATTAAAAGAAGATCGGACCGGGCGTAGCCTAGTGATTAATATGCTCGGACCGTGAATCCGAGAATTTGCTGGTTCGTGGTCCGTCACTACAAAAACGAGCTCCGAACCTTGGTGTCGTGGATGCGCCATAAGAGTCACTGTCAAATTCTATCATTTGGTCAGTCAAGAGTAACCCGCCCGAGAACATAAGTTGGCGGTGGGTGTTGTTGCCTTCTTTCTAGCCTGTCAGTTCAAAATTAGGGTTAACTCTGAGGAGATAGTCCTTGATGTAACCTTGCGCGAAGATTGTGAAAAACAACAACAAAACAACAAGAGGAACATGTAGAATGTTTTATCATTAAAAACACAATTACGTAGATATATATATTTTTTTCTTTTAGTTAAGTGCAAAGCTACACAGTGGACTAACGGTACTGTGTCCACTACGGGCATCGAAACAAGGTTTTAACATTAGAAGCCTTCAGACTTACCGCTTAGCTGCTGGTGGGTGATGGTGGTGGTGGTGATGTTTATATATTAAAGTTTCTTCATTTGATTATCGATGAATCATCAAATCGGTGTATTTTTGACGATGAAGTTAGGAAGTTCGTAACTTGCTGGAAACTTAATTTATGGTTTTAATTCGTGTCGACGATGTATTATTAGATGTATAGTCTAAAAGTTATTTTTCATAATAACCCCACCAATCAGTTGAATCTTAAAACTGCTCGTGATGACCCCCCACTCCCTCGTCACGGCGCTGTTAATTTAGAATCCTTTCAGGGTTAATTCTCATTTTTCGCGTCCATTTACGGCTCTTGTTTTGCTTTGTGTTATGGAAAGATACATGAGAAATTTTTGAAGTAAATACATTAATATTTTTCGTCGTTCCATTCATAAGTAGGATCGTCTCAAAAGTGGAGCCATTTTTTAAATCATTTTATAATATAGTGCGACCTATTTTCCGTTGAAGATTTCTCGTAAAAATCATTCCTAGATTGAGTGAATGTAAGTTTAGTTTATTAACCTCCAAACTAAGGTTTTTGTTAAGTTACCACAATTAACCCGGTGGCTGTAAAACCTTTTTAATCTTAGCTTTGGTTTCTTCCGATCATGGTGTTTGTTTAGGTAGTTTTTTTTTATGGCTCCCACTTTAAAATAGAAATGTCACTGTACCTGTACATGTTTCGACGTGATGCAAGTCATCCTCAGGGGTAACTTACAAGATTATTTTATACTTTCCCCCTTGTCGCATTACTTCGTTGTTATTTGCATATTTCCTTAGTGTAATTGAAAAACAATATATAATGTATCTCGCCATATATCGACGTATTAACTTGCTGGTCCTTCTTCTCTATTTAATTCTTGTTTTGTTTTTTATATTTCATTATTTCTAATGTTTCTCTAATATTTAATGATTTAAAACTTCGAGGC